CTGTGGGGGGAAAATAATATACTGACTGGTTTTTTTCCTTGTTTTTCAGCTTTCTTGCCTCGAAGCTGTTCTGGTTCTCAGCCAGGACAGAGCTAATTTTTTTGCAGTAACTGTGAGGGAGCAGAGTCTGGAGCCATTTGGGCAAGTCTAGGTCATTATTCTGTCTCACCTCTTGTCATTGTCAGGGTGGAAATGAGGGCAGAAATGACAGATTCTTGCTTCCCATTCCCCCAGAATGCGAATGGCTTGTGGTCAGAAAAAAGAGCACAGGTGAAGAGAGTCTGTCTGCTATTTTGTTCACTTGTGGGTCACACTAGGTCAGCTCTGGCTCAGTGAGGATTTTTTTGCATGTAAATCACCCTCTTTTTTGTATACTTTTCTTATTATTACTGTTACTGTTTGTTTTCTTATTTCATTGCTGTTTCCAGTAAATTCTTCTTATTTCAACCTGTAACCTGTATCTTTTGTGTCTCCCACCAGAAGAGCAGTGGGAGGAGCAGTATCTGGTTTGGAGGAGTCTTGGTTGGGGGGGATCACTAAATTTGGGAGTGATGTTCCTGAACCATGATAAAAGCCTCTTAGACCATATCCTGCACAGAAATTTTGGAGCTGCTCTGATGGTAGTAACCCATCATACAGTTTCATTTTGTTCCTGCCTAGTGAAAAAATTTTTGTCTCATATAAGGCAAATATTTGCAAAAGGAGTGAGTAAAATGCAACAGATAATAAACATCATTTAGAACTCATGAAAGGTGGTATTGTAACAGGATATTTTTATACTTATATGAATTTAAGTGTCATGATTTTTTTGGAAGGGTTGGGGTGAATTGCAAATGTTTGCCTTCCCCAAGGCTCCCTGAGGCAATGGGACAAACTATACATGAGTGACAAGGTATTACTGGTGGGTAAGATCTAACATCTCCAGGGACAGGAGATCAGAGCCTTCTGTATCCTTCTGCCTCCCAGCCAGCATGCAATTCTGTTCTCCTGTATTTAACTCATGTAGCATACTTGTTTATAGTAGCTTATCAAGCTAGAAGGAGAAATTCTTTTACATTTCTCCTTCTAGCTTGATTTTCTGTGATAAATGGTAATTAGAGAAACTGCCTTCAAATAAATTCTTAAAAAGCTGTTCAGTTTTATGACATATTTCCCTGTTTGTGTGCATTTCACTTTTCCCTTGTCTCAGAAAAATGTGATTCCTACTCCTTGATATAAAAAAAAAACCCTGAAAGTAGAAGGTTACCAGATCTGAAAACTTAACTTTGTAGTCTTTATTTTTTTTTCTTTATGTGACTTTTTTTGATGTATTAGAAATTCAAAATGGGGATCTGAGCTGCTCTGCCTCAGTAAAGCTAATAGTGGTTCAAGGCCTCCAGACTCAAGACGTCAAGGCCTATGACTTTCTGGCAACAGGCTACTTTGTGGCGGTGGTGGGGGGAAGGAAAAAAAACAAAAAGAAAAAAGAAATGAATAAAATTCGGCACTGAAACACAAAATACATGAACCTGTCACAGTAAGCAGTCTCAAAGGGCAAGCTGCTTTGCAGGAGCTAGTTAACCTTAGGAAATAATTACACAAATATGCAAATGTTGTTTAGACAATTCCATGTGTTGTCGACTCAGGTAGTCCATCATAACTGCAGACCTTGCAATGTCTAGGTGTTAGAATCTGGCATAGTTGATAAGGCTTCAGTTGCTGCAGCTCTCCAACCTGGTATTTAACAATTAATGACTGTGATATTACATTAGTAAATGTAACCTGTTTTTAGAATGCAACAGAATGTAATATTGTATTCACAGTGTACATACTGCTTATCTGTGTATATCTAATGGCTCCAGCCATTAAAATGTTACATACCTTTCAACTCCTAGCACTAGCCCTGCTGGAAAAAATGGCTGACCAAAATCTGAGTTCAGTCCCTCCACATTTCTACACAATCGATGGCCCAGGAGTAGCCTTGTTTGGATTACTTTGTATTGGATAAACATTGCACGAGGGCCTTTTCACATCTTATGATTCTTAATCTTTTCTTCCTTTCATGTCTAATTATATTTATAATGATCAAGAGAAAGGGTTTTCAGAGGGGTGGAGACCCACAACTATGACTTCCACGACTCCAATGAGCCAGACCACTTATTTTGACATAGAATTACCTGCTGCAGATGACCAGCTTTCAGCAGCAGGAAGTCTAAGTTCAAGTTTTCTTGCATGTCTCCATCTCAGTCTGTTTCAGAAACAAGAATACATTCAGCCTGAGGTGCCTTTTGAGGTACATAGTGTGATGTCTCCAGGCTAATGTCCATTCATTTCTGTACATTTGTATAGATAATTATGTAATTTCTGACCAGGAGACCCCCTCTCTATCAAATAATTTCACAATGTTCTATATAAGTGCATTCAATTTAGCTTCAGTGAAATAACAGAAAGCAACAGCTGCCTGAGACTGTCACCTTTCATGCTGAAAATGCAGCATCCTGTCTCGTAATTTAATCCAAGCCAGGCAGTAGAGGTTAAATCTCACAGACCCAGTGCAATTTGAAATTCTAAGGGGATGAGCTGTGCACAGCTTCTGCAGCTGGATATTCCATGTACACACCTGGAGCCAGATCTGAGGTGTTTGTAATATGGGCTTGTTACAAGGGGGGAAAATAAGCAGATGCTCTGAAGAAAGAGCTTTTGTTCTAAGCTATAGGACTCCTCCATACTCCTTCTTACACATATGTGCTTTCTTTACCTTGTTTAGGGTTTAGCAGAGTGTACAGCAACCCAGTTTATCCTGACATCTTATGGTTTGGGTTTTTTAACTGGTAATAAAGGAAGTTACAGTCTATATTTAACTCATTGTAGCTCATTTCTTTTTGCTTTTATAGCATCCTGTTAAGTCTTTGTACTGGACTGTGAAGCTGTGAAGTTATTAATTTAGTTTACTAGACCACTGGTTATGCTTTGATTGGTGAAAGCTTTTTTGGGCTGAGTTCAGAAGCTTTTTGCTGATGTCTTAGTCTTGTGGAATCTAAAATTGTGTGCTTTTACCAGCAGTATGTAGAATAATAAATACAAAGTAACCTGCAAATGCTATATTAAGCAGAAAAAATGTTCCTCTTTTTTTCTCAGATTATTTAAACAGCAGTGGGTGCCTATACAAAAATTGCTGTTAAAAGTATCAATGGCAACATTGTTATTGAAAAATAAGTACCTCCTGTGTATATAACTAAGATAAATCTTTTAGATATATTAGTAATTCTGAAACTTTCTCAGTGTTTTAATGTACTTTTTTTTCCATACAGATTATAGCGTATATCACTTTTGCACAGGAAACTCCTGTTCAAGTTGTCCTTCAGCTTATCTTAATAACTGGTTTGTCAATCATATTTTCTTTATGTAGTATCTTGTAAAAAGATTCCCTCATTCCTCACAATGGGAGGGTCTTTACTTTCTGTACCTATCTATACAATCAAATTTCAAAACAGCAACAAACTGTTTTGAAATAAGTTCTTTCCTACATTGAGGTAGTTTACAATAGGTGATACAGAATTAGTTAAAACTACGTTCTGACATAGTCAATGAAGAGCAGCATCTTCAGGAGTAAGGAATTCAGGTTTTTCTGTCTTATAATCACTGCTGCTGAAGCAGAAAAGCACATGGTTATTCTAAAAACTTTGAGTCAGGATCCATAAAGATGTTTTGCCATCTCACTCTTACTTAGAAAACAGAGTATGAGAATAGAAATAAAAGCCAGAATCAGCCACATTATTTAGTTGTATCTCTTCCCACTGATTTTAAGCCCTTATAAGAGCTTAAATCCCCAAAACTGATTTGCAGAATGGAATTGAGATCTAGATCACCTCAACATCCTTGATAAATTTCAATAATTCACACTGTGTAATTATCAGCAGCTTTTACTGGTTTGTGCTTTCTTTTTCCTAAGGAAACAAGGATTTTCTTGTCTATATCTGAGTTAGCTAAGGATATGAAGTTGTTGCTGTCACAGAGCAAAGGGAAAAGTTAGGCAAACTTTAGGAAATTACACTACCTTGACTGATCAACTCTTTCTGTCATTCAAGAGCCTGGAAAAAGCCAACATTGTTATCCTGGTTGTGTGAAATACTGACAGAGCAGGGTACCTAGCAGAGCATCTTATTCTTGTCATGTGAGACTAGACCAAATTTGTCGTTATGACCTCAACAACCCAAGTAATAAGGAAAATCTAGAGGGGTATAGTCCTTTCCAAGAGCCTCAAGGATACACATACACAACTGTGAATTTTGATGTGAGTGCATTGAAATCAATGTGTGTCACTCTAGTGCCTTCTGTTACTCTTACACTGGCTGACTTTGACAAGATCTTGTTCAATAGTAAGAAAACATGATCGTCTACCTACCAAAAGCTCCAAAGTAATGGTTGCCACCAGTCAAGAGGTGTTTTGTTTGCACCAGGTGTCATAGTCTGCAGTCACAAAAAGTAAGATTTGAAAAAGTAGTTGCAAATACTATAATTTTATCCTTAATTCAGGTTTCCAGTGACTCATAGTATGAAAAAAAAAAGTAAATATTGAAATTATAGGTCTTTAGCAACCTAAATTATTCTACGATTATGTATTTATATTGTTCTTACCTGTTTTTATTTACCAGTCTAAGGCATAAGTACTTTAAGCAAACCCTCAGTGAACAAACATTTGACCAAAGAGTTGTCAAAAGAGTGAAAATCTGAGCTGTGGCTCATAATTCCTATGAATGCCTCCATTTAGCAGAAATGTCATCATGGTATTTACGCAAAATTTTGCAGGTGCATAATTTTGTTATACTTACTAAAGTAAGCTCAAAAAGCAAGTTTTACTGCCTTTATTTAGACAAAAGACTGTTCTCTTTTTGATACTAGTGTGTATTCATTTGATCTTTATTTTAACAAAACGTTCTAACATATAAAAACACATTGCTTTTAGACAGAATTGCCATTTTTTAAAAGATAATTGTCACACACATAATTTCTTTTTGCAGGATAATGGCTCTCCTGAAGAACATGCAATTTATGTTTGGGACCATTTTATTTCCCAATCCGCTGCAGAGAATGTGTTTTTTGTTGCTCACAGTTATGGTGGACTTGCCTTTGTAGAGTTGGTAAGTGTGAATTCTCCATTGCCATATTTCCTGAAGACTGTCACAGATTTTCTACATTCTTTGTGATCACCTTCATGAAAGTAGCTAGGTAGAAACAACTGTGCCAGTGGTCATGTACAGGTTGGTCAGGATTTATTTGCAAACAGAAGATTGCTGTATCTTTTCTGGTTTTGAGATAGACAGTAAGGTTGCAAGTTTGCATGAACCTGAAAGACTCTGGGGAAACAGAACATGCTGCATCCTTCTTGTCCAGGCTATGTACTGAAAGGCACCAGTTTCTGCTGTGGGACAGAAAGACCTGGTGATATACAAGACTAAGCACATAGAAGAGCAGTTTTAAAGCGAAGTCACAGACAAAAATGCAGTTTTTTGTATATAGATTGGAACTAAATGTGTGGGGAAATATGGCAGTTTTATTCCTTTTTTGCAGTTTTTCTACAAAGATCTGCAAAACTTGCTGGAAGGACTTCTGTTTTCCCATTTATTAGGCTCTGCAGCAATACAAGGTGGGAAAAACTTTTCTCGGTGTAAAGCTGTTATCTGGTGCTGAGACTGCTGAATATCTAGTTTTAAGTCTTTCACTCTAATCTCTGAAGGCAGATCTCTCGACCCCATCTGGTATACCAAGCTGCCTGTTAAACTTGTATACCATTCTGTCAGTGTAGCTACAGTCTTCTCATAGGATTTTAAAACAGTAGTGTGATCAAGATACGTTTTATTGAAGAAAACTACAAAAAAGTAAGGGTCCTGTTTATTGTGGAAAGTTAAATTGCACAGCATTAGAACTGGTTTTATAGACACAGGAAACATCAGACATATATGTACATCTTTTGTCTACAACACATTAGTTTAATTTAACTGAAAGTTGATTAAGATGTTTCCTCCCTGAACATAAGATGAATGCCTTAGTTAAGAAAAAGCATGGATGAGCATGTTGGTTTTAGTCTTATGCTGCTCCAAGTAGCAATAACAATCCAGATGATGGCCACTGGTATTCTTTTAAGAACTTGAGATTTTCCTAACTCACTCCCCTTTATTTTTTGTTGTCTAAATTAATACCATTTTCATTATCTCTGCGGTACTGGAAGAGTATGTGCAAAATGCACATGACGTGTACACATTTGAGGCTTGAGAAACATTCATTTTGCTGAAGATTGTTTGAGAATTGATCATTTTTCACAAAACCTATTGCCTACTCAATGAATAGTCTCAAAACTAAATTTTTAAGAGACCTTGAATCTTTCTGTAACCACATCTATGGGCAAAAGATGTGTTGCATTGCATGTGCTGGTTACTCTTGAGATGTCATGAACATTAGGGAGCAGTTGTCCTGTCTTGGCTTTCCTGAGTTGTGATTTTCAGCTGCTCTGTATTTCAGCCCAGGTTATTCTGGTGTTACTTGTGGGTCCAAGGTAAAGCTTTGGCAGAGTTTCTGTAGGTTTTGTAAAGCCTCATTGTTTGGATCACCAGATGCCCAGAGATACATACATGTAGCAGAGGGCAGGAATAAGAATCAACTAGAGACCTTTTCCAGTGTTTCCTAAACTTAGTGCTGACTTGAAGGAGGCTTGGAGAGTTTTTCCTTCATGTTTCAGACAATGACTTGAGGTGGCCTGGGTAACAGATGACCAAGATGTCATTTCCATTTCCCCTGTTTTTCTTGTTACACTGGTGGATATTTCTTCATACTTGTTCTACTTCAATATGAAGCACACTGATTTTTCAGAAGACTTGACTTCTAACCTTGGGGCTTCCAGGGTCAGGGTGTTCAGGGACTGTGAAATTATCACAAGCTAAGTGAAAATTTTTATCAATTGCAGGAACCAACCAGTAAATTAAGAAGAAATATCTTTGTCAGAAAAACAAGATGGTCTCAGTAAGGGTCATCTTCTGTAGTCTGCTATTTCTGCAGGAAATGCATGCCTGAGATGAATAATACAATGCATATCCATTGACACTTCACATATCTGTCATGCAAAACTAGACCTGAAATATATTTTTAATGTAACTCAATGTTTTGCTAAAAAATCCAAGAGTATTAGCACCTGGTTTAGGCAGAGGTAATTTGAATTTAAGTACTACTAAAAGCAGTTTGATTAAATAATTCATACATTGAAGGGCATATCATTGAAATAAACCTTGAACTACTTCATTGCAGTATTCATTTGTAAGGTTTTATTTTGTTATCATCTCCTTTCTCTTAAACTTTATATTCATACGACACTTAGTAATAGCAATGAACTCCAAAAAGAAACAGAGCAGCTGATGGGCAATTACTGTCTTATGACAAATACATTTTCGATCACTGCACTTTCTTCTCTGATTCATGTGGGGGTGATGATAAGGTTGATAGAGCATCTACACCATATAGCAACTGTACCACCTCTACACTTCCTTTGCAAGTTTTTGGGTTAACTGATTCATGAAATTGTAGGCTATAGTTGTTATGGAGACCTGTTGCACAGCTGCTTCTTCTACATTCATGCTTCTTAGAAGAGCTGTGTGAAGCATATGGCTTTAATTTGGAGTGAAGGTTTCTGCCTGAGCCTTCTGAATTTCATTTTGCCTGTAGGGAAAAAAAGAAAACAAGCAAAAATACAAAAAAATATTTGTGTTTGCAATTAATATCTTCTTAGTCAACTTACCATGTTTAGTGCTGGGAGGTCTGTCCTGATGGCTTGCAGTCATCTCAGCCACAGCTTGCCACTTCATCATGGTTGTAGGGCTCCTGGTGGAAACAGGATGTTCTGGCATTAAACAGAAAAACCCAATGGAAGCTGATTTTAAGCAAAGTCTTGTTCATGGGCATCCATACCATTGTGTGGGAGGATCTGCTGCTCTCCCAGGAAGAGGCAGAGAACAACATTCAGCTTTCCACAGGCAGGAGCCCATCCAGGTGCTCCTTTGTCTGAAGCTGCTGAGGGAGGTAGCACAGGAAGGGCAGTGCTGCTCTGCCTTGTGCCTTAATTGGCATGCACTTTGTTGAGAAGCACAAAGTGAAAGAGAGCAGATAGGACCATCACATATGACTGGTATAAAAAGAAGATCATTTTTATTTACAAAATTTTAGTGGCCAAATTTTGGTCTTCATTCAAATTCCTTCTCACCATAAAAATAAGGCTGTGTTTTCAAAATCCTTCATTGAAAAACCAGGTAGGGCTTGAATGCAATTTTCAAATACATGCCACATCTGGTAAAATTGTATTGATCTTTGCAGCTTTTGATCTACATTTTCTCATATCTGTGATTGCAGGATGTTAATACAAATAGGGTGAATCTGCAATATCATGCTCAAATACACAGAAACTGGTAACCAGTTACTGCAACATAGGCACACATTTTCTGTACCTTGTTGTGTCATAGATTATTAGGGGAATAATAAAAAGTGGTTGAAATGTGTAGAAAATAAAGTTTTATAAATCAATGTGCTAAGTTTTTTTGTTCTGTTGTTTATAGGTTGAATTACAAATGGTAAATCATAAGCCATATGTTAGAATGTATCTCAATATTTAGTAATTTAAACTTTGTGTAATTGTGGCTTGAAATTAAATGTGCATGTGATAGTATCTGCACGTTAATTATTTTTTGAATGAACAACATTAAAAATAATCATTGGGTCATTGTGTTTTGCTAATTGCTAGTTACTGATTTTGAAAAACTCAAGCCATGATTCATGAACACATCTCAGCTTCTTAATTCTGTTATCCCTTTCACAGTGTAGTCAGGAATTTATTTTCAGAATCAGTTTGCTTTACTTGATGGTAAATTGTGGAACTTTCTCAACTCCAAGCTTATAATAATTTTATAAAATTTAACAGAAAGTGAGAATTTCAAGTTGATGGAGTCAATTTTATATTTAGTTTACAGAAAATAAGAAGTTTCTGGTACAACGCCTCCTTCAAGTTTTTCTGCCAAGTTTTATGGATTTACAATTATTTTGCTTTAAAAATAATGTTTTTCCTTGTCATTGCCTGCATGAAAGATCCACACAGAAGAATCTTTGTAGAAGGCTTCTTCCTGTATTTCTGCTTGCTTCCTATATTTCTGAGACCCTAGGCTTTGCATTTTCAGTTTTTTCCTCATGATCTTATAACTAGAGTTATAGCTTTTTTGTTTTAATTTTAGTTAAATGCTATCTTTTAAAAAAATACAAAGTATCATGGGAATAATGAAAAAACTGTAAGACTCATTAATGGTATCTCCATCTTACATCATTCATACTGCTGTAGAAATACAAACTACACACGGGAATGTAATAATTAAGAGAAGGAAAGTAGGTTGTCTTCAGCAGGTGTAAACTATTCATTATGGTTCTTTTGGCTAAAATATTGCATATATATATTGAGAATTTGCACAAAGGTGCAGGAAAATGGGGGGAGGGTGTCCTTTTAGTGAGCTTCGTTACAATGAGTGCCCTTAAAACACACTGTTCAAATTACTGTATGCACTGTAGAGTCCTAATTCCATCAAAACTGCAAATGTTGACAATTTCAAATAATTTTAGGTCCATCATTTTGAGATCCTTTCTGCAATACGCTGCCACTTCATTTTGCGGTATTGTGCTGAGTATGGCAAGGACCTGGCCCTGACTGGCACTGATGGGTGCCATAATAATGATGATAGACAGGCACCTGCTGAGCTACCTGTGAGTCTCTGAGGCTGCATCATTATTCTGGCACCAGCAAAATGCAATTTAAGAAACTTAATGGCTAGGATGTGAACCTGTCATTAGTTTTTCATTAATTTAATTTCCTGAAGTCTCAGACTGAATGGTTTGTTATATTTGGTTTATTATAAATACTTATATAAATATATCTACTTATTTTTTAATTCAGTTTGCCTGGAAAATTGATGAGTGGGTACTGTGGACATGCAACTCTTAATTCCCCTAGCTGCAGTGTTAAATCAAAATATGTATGCTGGTGTGTGGTAGAGATAACATAAGGTCTGTGACGGCTGTAGGAAGCATGGGAGAGAGCTAGAAGTAGAGAGCTGTGAAG